GGTTATGATTTTTACATCTATGGTCATGAAATGTGATTTTCCTTTCTTATATAGTCCCTGTTGGGTTTTGTTATAAAAATTATGCTGGTTTTGTGAGGTGTGAGGTGAGTTGAGAAAGTTTCCTTTTTGGGGGAAGAGTTTGTATGTGATTGCTGTAACTTCTTCCTTAAACATTTGATAAATTTTTTCTAGTGAAACCATCTTGGCTTGGAGTTTTTTTTGGGGAGATAGTTTCTAATGGTGGCTTAAATTTCTTCATAAGTGTGGATAGAAAACTAGATTTTATATTTCTTCTCTTATGATTTTTGGTAAATTGTGATCTTTTTCCAAGGAATTAGTTCATTTCATCCTAACATGTCAAATTTATTATTTATAGTATCCTCATTATATTTCTAGTAATTTTCTGTCCTTCATTCCTAATATTGGTAATTTGTGGGTTTTTTCCTCTTTTACTAATTATTGCCTTTTTTCTGCTTTCTCTAGGTTTGATTGGCCATTCTTTTTACAGCTTCTTGAGATGGAGCTTACCATTGATTGTTTTTCAGGCTTTCTTATTTTCTGACATATGCATATCAGGTTATAAATTTCCTCTGAGTATAGCTTTTGCTGACATTTTATTTATTGTCTTTACTACGTAATTCTAAATGTAGATTATACATATATATAAACATTAAAATGTAATACATATAATATATAATTATATACAATTTAAATTTCAGTTATGATTTCCTTTGTTGATTATGGGTTATTTAGAAGTTTTTTTGTCTAATTTCCAAACAGCCAAACAGTTGAGTATTTTCTAGGGTTCTTTTTGTAATTGATATCTACCTTAATTCAATTTTAGTCATAAAACAGTCTGGTTTTAGTACTAAGAAGTTTTTTGTGGCTTATTTTAGGACTTACAATATGGCCAGTTTTGGTAAAGATTCCATGTGTATGTTAAATAGGTTCCACTCATTGTTGGGTGCCATGATTATAAATATGTTGTTTAGGTCAAGTTTGTAATTGACTTGTTTAGATTTTCTGTTTTCTCATAGAATTTTTGTCTCTCTCTTCTTATTGAGAGAAGTGTATCAAACTCACTCTGATTGTGGATTTGTGTATGTCCCATTTTACTTCTGTTTTTTTATTAAAATAATTTAAAGCTGTGTTAAGTGGTACATATATGTTTAGATTTACTTTTTAGTCATGGTGAATTGATTCTTTTATTTTGTCTTTAAGAAATGACCTTCTTTATCTCTGGGAACATTCCTTGTCATAAAGTGTAGTCTTGTTTTTGGTTGGTTCTTTCATTGTTTATTGTTTGCCGTCTTTTTAGTTTTAACCTATCTCTGTCCTTATATTGAAAAACGTGTCTTTGTAAACGGCATAGGGTTTTTTTGTTTTGTTTTTATTTGTACCTCGTCCAGCAACTTTACTCTTTTACATTGTCTTTAGGCCATTTATATATAATGCTTATATTTAGTGATGTACTTGGGTTAATATCTACTATCTTATTACTTGATTTCAATTTTTCCAAACTGTTCTGTATTCTTTTTTCTCTGCTGTCTTGACTTCTTTTGTATTGTTCTATTTCTCTCTTTATTACCTTGTTAGTTGTGTATTCCTTTATTGCTTACCCTAGGAATTATATGTACCCTTGACTTATAATATTCTAGTAAAAATAATAACTTTGATCACTCTCCCATTAGTGTTCCTCTGACCCCCATCTTTATCATTTTATTATTACACATATTAATTTACATGTATTTTGTATGTATTTTAAGACATTATTTTCATTTGTTTGTTTTTTAAACTTTTCATATTTTTGTCTCTGCATAGGGTTTTTTAAAAATTTATTTATTTTATTTATTTATTTTTGGCTGCGTTGGGTCTTTGTTGCTGCACGCGGGGTTTTTCTAGTTGCAGTGAGCAGGGACCATTCTTCGTTATGGTGCACAGGCTTCTCATTGCAGTGGCTTCTCTTGTTGCAGAGCACAGGCTCACAGGCTTCAGTAGTTGTGGCTTGCAGACTCTAGAGCGCAGGCTCAGCAGTTGTGGCTCATGGGTTTAGTTGCTCCGCAGCATGTGGGATCTTCCTGGACCAGGGCTCAAACCCATGTCCCCTACATTGGCAGGTGGATTCTTAACCACTGTGCCACCAGGGAAGCCCCCATTATTTTTTGTTTATACAGAGAATATTTATATTTTCCCACATATTCACCTCTTTTGTTGCTTTTAATTCCTTTTGAATTTTCATCTTAGATTATTTTTCTTTTGTCTTCTAGTGCAGGTTTGCTAGTGACTAGTTTTCTCAGTTTTTTGTCTGTCTGAAAATGTCTTTACTTTGCCTTCACTTATAAAGGGTATTTTTGCTGGCCATAGAGTTATGGTGAGCAGTTGTTTTCTCTCAGCTCTTTAAGTAGTCATTCTGTTGTTTTATAGTATTCGAAAGTCCAACAACAGTTGTTCTGTTGAAGGTAAGGTGTCTTTTTTTCCACTGGCTGCTTTTAAGGTGTTTTTCTTTGGTTTTCAGCAATTTAAATGAGATATGCTTAGGTGTGTTTTTTTAATTATATTTATTCTTCTGGGGATTTGCAGAACTTTTTGAATCTGTGGGTTGTTATCTTTAATCAGTTTTGACAAATCCTTGGCCGTCATCTTTTTATGTATTGCCTCTGCTCATTCCCTCTTTCCTCTTTTGAGGTTTCAGTTATGCATATTTTAGATTTTTTTCATGTGTTTTACATGTCTGTTATGCTCTTTTCTGTATTTTTCAGAATTTTTTGATCTGTGTGCTTCTGTTTGGATATTTCCTATTGCCTTGTTTTCCATTCTGCCAGTTCTATCTTCTGACGTATCTAATAAGTTCTTAATTTCAGCATTCATGTATTTCACTTATAGAATTTCTCTTTGGTTCCTCTTATGATAGATTCCAATTTTCTGGAATTCTTCACCTTTTATTTTCTTGAACATATTTCTTATATACAGTCTTGTCTACTAAGTCCAATAGCTGGGATTACCAAAACACTGTAAATTTTTCTTTTGTTTTTCAGTCATATGGTCCTGTCTCTTGGAATGCCTAGTATTTTTTATTGAGTAGTAGACATTACAAAATATTGGTGAGGTTCTACATGATGTTATATTACTACTCCAGAGAAAGCTCACCCTTTCTTCTGCTTAGCAGATAAATGGGTCTGATCACCTTAATTCAGTGAGGGACTGAGCTGAGTTGAGGCTGGGTTTCATTTTTCATAGGTCTCTGCCTCCCTGTCATTTGCCCCTGCTACTGAAGTGTAGTCACTCAGGGGCTTCCAGCTGAGAGTGTGGTATGTTCATTTCCCACTTCCCCTGGCAAGACTTGAACCTCTAATTCGTGTTTCCTCATACTGATAAAACTTCTAAAATCTCCACTCTGCTTTTCAGAGGCTTTCTTCTTAGCTTCCTAGCCTCCTTCCCTGTGTAGCTTCAGAATTTTCAAATATCTTGAAGGGAAGACTGGCTCTTTGTCAGGCCCAATTCTAGGTACTTCCCCTTTTCACCCGTTTGTTCCTTTTGTTTCTAATTTTGTCTGTAGTCTTTTTTTTTTTTAAATTGGAGCATAGTTGATTAACAGTGTTTGTTAGTTTCAGGTGTATAGCAAAGTGATTCAGTTATACATATATATGTATTGTTTCTAGTCTTGCAAGACTACCAGAGCTCTGCTGGTTTCTTGGTTCTCTAGCACCAGCCTAGGCTTGATTCTCAGCTTCTTGCCTTATACCCAGATTCAACAGATACCTCCTTGGAAAAGTGGCTGCACTTATCAGGCCACCACTCCATGCTTCCAAGCTCTCTAGATTCTTGGTCTTTCTAGTTCTTTTCCTTCACTACTTCTCTAATAGCTTTAAATAGGTATTTTAAAAACTTTCTTTCCTGTATTTTGAAGTTGTTCTTGATGGAAACATTGATTTAACACAAATTACCTCTTCATACTTGGAAGTGATAGTCACATATAGTTTATTGTTATATATCAGTTATCACAGCCATTATAGTTAACTTCTTTGACACCAGTTTCTTTAAGAGACTTGGTTTTCTGACTGTGTTGTGTATAGAAGGACTCTGGAAAGTGTTTTATATCGATGTAGAAATAAGTTGATTGAGTCTTAATGGAAAGGCCTGGTGGTGAGAACATCTGTTATCAGTTCAAAATCAGCAGTGACTCTGAAACTGTTGTATAAACAAGTGGAAAACGTATTTGGTAGTCAAAAGCCTAGATGCACATTTCTTGGGAAAATTGATCTATTCCTATGGTTATAATGATGATTTTAGTATGGTTTTATGTTTGGGGCCACTGTTTTTTCTTTTTGTTTCCTTAATATCAGCTTAACATTGTGAGGTCTGTTTATATCATGTGATTTCAGAGTTGAAAGAACTCCCGTTTTTTAAAAAGAATTTTTTTAATGTACAAAGAAAAAGAAAATGTAAGACCAAAGTGAGATCTCTTACCTACCTCCCACCCTCAAAATATGTACTACTGTGTATAACTACTTCTCTTCCTCCCCCACCCTTTCCTTTCACTTCTTGTCCTCTCTCTCCTATTGATACATGTTAATTGAAGAAAATATAGAAATTGAAATACATAAAAAGAAGAAAATTTAAATCTCTTGTAATCCTATCACCAAGCACTAATCACACTTTTGAGCGTTTGACACATATCTTTTGTGGATTTTTTCTATGTAAAATGGATCATATTGTTGTTAATGGTTCTCAGCTAGGCCTTTTCATTAATATCACCTGTAACAATTAAAATATGTGTAGATTCTGGGATACACCTCATGCTTAACCAAATCAGAATCTCCAGGGATAGGGCTAAGAGGGTTTTGTTGAAAAAACAAAAACTCCCCTTTAGAAAATTTTAATTGCCTTCAGAAATCTTTTAAAACAGATTTTAAAAAAAAGAATATTGCCGTATTATATGTAGAAAACTTTAACTTGTATGCAACTCTTTATCTAATGATTTGATTTTAACTTTCTCCTAGCCATTCCACCCTATGGTGAATTTGGATTGTTCTCGGGATTTCCGGCCATTTCTTTGTGCACTCTACGCTCCTATTTGTATGGAATACGGACGTGTCACACTTCCCTGCCGTAGGCTCTGTCAGCGGGCTTACAGTGAGTGTTCGAAGCTCATGGAGATGTTTGGTGTTCCTTGGCCTGAAGATATGGAATGCAGTAGGTGCGAAAATCATAGATTTTCATGGACCATTACTTATGTTGCAGTATATTTAAAATTATTTGTCTTCTAGTTCATCAGTTTTTAAGAACTTTTTTGAAGTGTGTATATTAGTCATAATTGTGAACAGCAGTTTCATGGCCTCAGAGCTGTTCATTTCCTTAGGAATTTGGAAGCACTAAATGAAAAAGGTGGGAAAAGAAAAATTTTCTATGAAGAAATTTTTTAAATAATCAAATTAAGAAAAACATAATCAAGATATTGATTGTTGATTTCTCTCCCTTACAGATTTTTTCTGGTTATAAAAGTAATGTCATTTATTAAAAAATTAGAAAATATAGAGAACATAATCATTTGTTACCTCATTATTAATGATTTTAATGGGACTCAAATATCTTTATGATTTAAATGTGTTAATGACTACAATAGTCCTGTCAGTTCCATTTTTGTCATGTATTAATATACCCAGACCCAGAAAATGTCAGATACTTTTCAAATCACTTCCAATATATAGATTGTAAGCATTTCCTAAAGGTTTGAGGATATTTACCAGACAGTGTTATAGATTTGTACGAGAGAACATTATTATTAGTAATAACATATACAGTAGTAATACTGTATTTCTTGCATAATAATGTTGTGCCTTTTGTATTCTTAAAGTTTCAAGGGTAAAGAATAAGATGAACACTTATATAACTCTTATTACCTAGCTTTATCCAGTCTTACTATTTTGCAATGTTTGTTTCAGATTTTCTTTTTTTTTTTTTTTGGCTGAGCTACATGACTTTTGGGATCTTAGATCCCCAACCAGGGGTTGAACCCAGGGCCCTGTCAGTGAGAGCACCGAGTCCTAACCACTGGACTGCCAGGGAAGTCCCCAGATTTCTTCTTTTAAGAAATAAAACAGTACAGATAGAGTTGAAGTTTCCTTTCTTAGTACCCATCTTGATTTCATTTCCTTCTTTTCTCCCCAGAGATGAGATAATCATTATGTTGAATTTGTTGTTAATCATTCCTATCTTTGTTTTTATACTCTTACTACATATATACATATCCATAAACAACATTAATTTTTTTTTACATGTATCTGTGTTTATATCTGTAACTCTGGTTCATTCCTCTTAGTTGCTATAGAATGGCCAATTGTATTACCATCCTATAGTTATTTAGCCATCTCCTACTGATGGTCATTTAAGTTACTTCTAGGTTTTTGCTATTATGGGCAGTGCTGCACAGAACACTTTTTTCTCCTTCATGTTTAAAATTAATTTGTTTGTCATATGACAGTAGCCCTTGGAGACAGGTGAAAGGCAGGTGTTGTTACTCTCATTTGACAGCTGGAAGAACTTAATAAAACATGTATTAGTTACTTGTAGTCAGTTCACTGGCATTTTGCTTTCTCATATTTGTCTGCTCTATTTCCCACCTATTTAACACACTCTCTTATCTACCCCATCAAACCCTTCATCCACTTTCTCCCCAAAACCTGGTAATATTTATAGTCCTGCTTTCAGAAGTTTGTAAATTTCTTGGTATTTATAACAACAGTTATGAATTACCTGGGCAGGAACCCTATTTTATGTTTTTTGTATCTAGCTCCTATTGTTTAGTGGTCTTTTTATTTTAATAGGTTATATACAAGTATAGAAGTGTCATTGTGATCTATGTTTATTTGTTTTGATAGGGTTAAATCTGTTTTATGTCCTCAGTATTGCCTGGGATTGTCTAACTCTTAAATTCTGGCAAAGCAATCTTTCATAATAACATTTCATTCTTCCACATCTCTCATATCCTTTTTCCTACTGTACCTGTTTTTCAACTTCATGGACACCCCCAGACTTTTGGGTTCCCCCCCCCCGCCCCTTATAGCTCCCTTCTTGATCTTATTTATTTTCTTACTTAGGTTAAGCTTTGTGGTCCATCACATAAAGTAATACTTTTGCTAGCAGTTTCAACTCATTCCTTCCACTGTACTTGTTCAGATCTCCAGCTCAACTAATTTCTTACAAATTAATTATGCTGCATATTTAATGATTTAAACCATAGCAACTTTTTTTTTAACTACCACCCAGATCTCTACCATTGTTTTATTATGTTTGCTTTTCACATTTGTCCATCCCTCTATTGATCCATTAATCTACCTTATTCTTTGTATTTCAAAGTAAATTAGAGACAACAGTTATTGCCCTCACAAATATTTTATCACGTCTTTCACTAACTAGAATTCAACATTTGTCTACAGTTTTTTCTTTCAGTTTAAAGCTTTACAAGGAAATGCACAAATCTAAAGATATCTGAGTTTTGACAAGTGCCTGCACCTGAGTAAGCCAAATCCTCAGAAAGATGTAGAACATCATCATTACCATTACCTCGTGCTCTCATGCTCCTTGATGGTCAATCCTTGTCTATACCATCCTCTAGAAGGAACTACTGTTTAACATCCTTCCAAAGTATCAATAATTACTTTGTCTATTCTAGAACTTCATACAAATGGAGTCATACAATATGTACTTGTTGTGTAACTCTTCTTTTGCTCAGGTTGAGATTGCCCTTCTTTGTTCTATTTTCAAGACTCATTAATATGTTCTTGTGTTCATCAGTAGTGCTTTTTCTTGCTGAGTAGTCTTCCATTGTATAAATATACTGTATTTTGCTTATCCATTCTCCTATTGATAGACATTTTAAACCATAGCAACTCTATTTGCTCTTTGTCTTTTGTCAGTTTCCAATTTGGTCAACAGGAAAATTTCTGTTCATTCTCCTCAGCACTTATGCCAAATCTATGTCACTCATTTCAAACCCATATTTCACCTTTATTCTGTATTTGACCCGTATTCCCCTCAACCTTAGCCTGTCCTCCTTTCCTGAAAATCCGTTAGGCCATTTTGCGTGAACTGTTGTGGTCTGCTACATCTCAGACCAGTCCTTTTCAATTTATTTTCTTGCATCCTCTTCCTCTTTCTGATGTTTCTTAGAGTTCTGTTCCTGTTTTTTTTGATTCTGCATGCTTTCCCTGGATAATCCCATCTCACTGATTTTAATTCTTATTCATATGCTGATGGATCCTAAATCTAAATCTGTAGCCTTGGCATCTTTCTGCTAAGTTCCAAATCTGCATATCCAGCAGCCACTGGTAACCTGAATTTGTCTCAAATACCTCAATTTTAACATGTCTAAAATTGATTTTACTCCTTGCTCATTTTTTTTATTCCTGGAAGGCATAGTCCTCCTTCATTGACCTAAGCTCCCACATCCAATCAGTTATAAATTCTGTTGCTTTTATCTAAATAATTTCATAGCTGTCTCATTCTCACTGCCTTATCTGGTTTTAGTTATGGCTCAACTGATATCTCTACTCTCATTTTTGCCCAGCTCAAGTGTCTTCCACACTCCTAGTCATCTTTCTAATTACTTGCTGAGGGCTATATGAATATATTTATTCAACTATATGAGGGCTATATGATAAATTTATTCAATTTATCATCAATTCAGCAAATATTAATTGGATGTCTTGTGTGTGCTAGACACTATTCTAGATAGTGAAGGTGAGTAGTGAACAAAACGTAGTCTCTGTTCTTATGGAGCTAAAATTCTAGTTGTGGTGGTAGTAGTAGGAGATAAATAAATAGATAATGTCAGATGATCATGAATGTTAATAAGAAAGAATAGAGTTAGGTGATAGTGATACAATATGGGGAAGCAGAAGGACTCTATTTTCTATGGAGATGTTGAGGAAGTCCTTTTTAATAAGGAGACAGTGAGACAGGAATCTGAATGAAATGAGAGAACAGGTTATATAGATATCTAGGGAAGAACAGTCCAGGCAGAAGAAGCAGAGCAAGAAGTGCAAAGGCTCTGAAGTGGAAGCATGCTGGTATATTCACAGGACACCAAAGAGGCTGGAGGCAAGTGAGTAAGGGAGAAGGGAAGGAAATAAGAGCAGAAAAGGACTGGGGGTGGGTCTTTAGAGCTCTCTTACGGAATTCGGATTTGACTGAGTGAGAAGAGAAGCCATTAGAATTTTGAGCAGAAGAGACATGATCATGAACACAGGAGTGACATGTCTTTAAAGGATCACTCTGGCTCTTGTGTGGAGATGGAGATAAACTGGAAGCCACTCCAGAAGTCCAGGGATGAGGTACTCATGGCTCAGACTGGGTGGCTGCAGTAGAGGAAATGGAAAGTGGTCAGATTCTGGATACATCGCAAAGTAGAATGACAGGAAGTGCTGGTAGGTTGTGAGGTGGATATGAGGGAGAAGGGATTTCAAGGAGGACCGTAAGGTTTTTGGCCTGAGCGACTAGAAGAATGGGATTACCATTTGTGGAAATGGAGAAACTAAGGAGTGGAAATCAAGAGTTTGGTTTTGGGAGGGTTAAAGAGTGAGGGGTGTGTATATGGTGAATTGGCAGTTGGATATACAGATACAGCCATTGATATATTTATATCAATGTTTATACATACATACACACACACACATGCACATATATTTCTGGAATGTGCTTACCTCTCCAAACCTTATCTCCTGTCACAATTCATGCACTCCTCATGCCCCAGCAATGCTAAACACACCCTGTTCAAACCTCCATGCCTTTGTTCCCATTTCTTGCTAGAATACTGATTGCCATACTGCCAATACTGGCAAATACTGATTCAGAGATCCTGTGTTGAGGGACTTAATCTATGAAGTCTTTCATAACCTCTTCCCCTGAAATAATTAATCCTTCTTTATATCATTTTTATATTTTATATAGGTTTTGATTGCTTCATATATCACACTGCTGTATTTTGTGTTGTGTTTACAAGTTTTTGCCTCCTTTTGGACTCAAGGATAGAGATCCTGGGTTTTGGGGTCTTTTTCTGTTAAAGCCCTGGCATACTGTAGAATTCCAGTAAATGCCTGCATGCAATAAGTTTCTGTCATTTGGCTTTATAATCCAAGCCCTGTGAAGAAAATGGTTTGTATTAGAAAATAAAAGATTAATCAGCTTCAGTGTAAGGTTATACATGTATATGGCAAACTTAATATCAGTGATAGTTTCTTGGAAACTATTTGATGCATATAACTGCTAAATATCTAGTTGGTGGGAGTCTGAAGGCTTAGAAACTGATGCTGGCAAGAAAATTGAAGATGCAGGAAGTTCATGAGAATAGTACTCTCAATAGTGTATGTCTGCAGCACAGCCCTGTTTTTTCTGTACTATGGTTATGACGCTTTCTCAAGTCTGGAAAATTGTCAAAATGCAGATTTCTTTGGCCCTAACACAGGCATACTGAAACAGGATTTGAGGTGGTGAGGACCAAGAATTTGTATTTTAAAATGACCTTAAGTTTTTCTCATGCACGTCAGTGTTTGAGAATAACTGGAATAGAGAATGCAGTGGATTGGAGAGACATTAGTAGTGGTAGGAAAGAACTAGTTGACATTAGAGACCTTAGGAGGACTTTAATTAACCAATATGGTAAGCAGAGAGTGAATTTTAAATGGGAAGAAAAGATCTAAAACTAAGCCACTTGTAAGGATTTTTAGTGCTAATTTAACTCAGAACACTTTGGGCCATGCAATTAGGGAAGATTTTTAACCCTTATTTTTAAGAAAGTTCTGTTTGAGTCTAGGGTAAATTGAGGACTATATTGTAATTAAACTTTAGAAAGAAGTAACTTTTAGCTACTATTCTGTTGGAGCTTTTTTTTAATGTATATTTATTATATATATATTTTTAAATTTATATTTTGAAATCTTACTCTAAACTGTGTATCCTAAATAAATAGTATGTAAATACACTATTTATTGATGGCTATGCCTGACTACTTTAATAAAGAGTAATCTTTTTGAAGCCAAAACAAAATTAAGTATAAATTTTTCATTTTTTTTGTCAGCTATGTAAAATCTAGTTTTATGACCCACAAACAAAATATGACCATTAGCATTATTTCTTCCACTTAATTGTAATGTGCTCCAAGGACATAAGAATAAACAACAGGTGCTAAATTTGGAAATCCAAATCATTAGGTTCCCAATAAGTAAAAATGGTTCTCATCTTGTATTTTTAGGTTCCCAGATTGTGATGAGCCGTATCCTCGACTTGTGGATCTGAATTTAGCTGGAGATCCTACTGAAGGAGCCCCAGTGGCAGTGCAGAGGGACTATGGTTTTTGGTGTCCCCGAGAGTTGAAAATTGATCCTGATCTTGGCTATTCTTTTTTGCACGTGCGTGATTGTTCACCTCCTTGTCCAAATATGTACTTTAGGAGAGAAGAACTTTCATTTGCTCGATATTTCATAGGATTGATTTCAATCATTTGCCTCTCTGCCACATTATTTACTTTTTTAACTTTTTTGATTGATGTCACAAGATTCCGTTATCCTGAAAGGCCTATTATATTTTATGCAGTCTGCTACATGATGGTGTCGTTAATTTTCTTTATTGGGTTTTTGCTTGAGGACCGAGTAGCCTGCAATGCATCTAGCCCTGCACAGTATAAGGCTTCCACAGTGACACAAGGATCTCATAATAAAGCCTGTACCATGCTTTTTATGGTACTCTATTTTTTTACTATGGCTGGCAGCGTTTGGTGGGTAATTCTTACCATCACGTGGTTCTTGGCAGCTGTGCCAAAGTGGGGTAGTGAAGCTATTGAGAAGAAGGCACTGCTATTTCACGCCAGCGCGTGGGGCATCCCTGGAACTCTAACTATCATCCTTTTAGCGATGAATAAAATTGAAGGTGACAATATCAGTGGCGTGTGTTTTGTTGGCCTCTACGATGTCGATTCATTGAGGTATTTTGTTCTTGCACCCCTCTGCCTGTATGTGGTAGTTGGGGTTTCACTTCTCTTAGCCGGCATCATATCCCTAAACAGAGTTCGAATTGAGATTCCATTAGAAAAGGAGAACCAAGATAAACTGGTGAAGTTTATGATCCGGATTGGTGTTTTCAGCATTCTTTATCTTGTACCACTCTTGGTTGTAATTGGATGCTACTTTTATGAGCAAGCTTACCGTGGCATCTGGGAAACAACATGGATACAAGAACGCTGCAGAGAATATCACATTCCATGTCCATATCAGGTAAGGGAAACCTTGTTCTAAATTTCAGAATATGTGACAGTGAAAAGAGCTAATCTTAGCTGATTGTTTTTTTATTGTTGTTATTTTGGGTTTTTTTTTTACTCTTCATGAACGACCTGTACATTAGAATTTTAAAGTGAAGATAATGAACAAATGTAGTAAGAGTGTCATACACATGTTTCTATAAACATTTTCCGTTTAAAAGATGACTTTTACAAGTCCAAGCTGTGGGCTTTTAAGCACTTTACTTCTGTTATCGCAAAAGAGTTGCTTGTTGATTATTTAGAAGTCTGCAGGTTTGAGGGGAAGTTGTTGATTAAAAGGCAGTGTCTTTCTGTGGAAATTTTACTGATATTCAGAATAAGGATTGTTTTAACAGTTTTGCAAAAAAAAAAATAGGACACAGTTGTACAAACAAGTTCATCTCTTAAATACTCTTGGTTTTTCTTTTTTGCGTACTGAAGTGTTTTACCTTTGAGTTTAAAGAGATCAGATAATCATAGAATCATAGAATTTTAGATCTAGAGAGAACTTCAGAGATCATTTATTCAGGTTCCCTCTATAATTTAGAGTTCTTAAACATCTGTCTCATTTGAGGCTTAGAATTGCTAAGTGATTTGTTCACACTCCGCTTGGATTTAGTTCTAGGAGAGGAGTGGAACAAGGAAAGCAGTTTAGAGGGGTTGATGCTAAGTATTTATCTCTCTCATCTTAAAACCTCTCTAGAACCTATGCTCCTAGCTATTACCCTCTCTTCTTTCTTTTAAGACAAGTTTTCTTGAAAGAATTGCCCCCACTTGGTGTCTCATGTTCATTGTGCTCCAGCTTCCCTGTTCTCAAAGTGCACCAGCCACCCTTTCATCTCCCCCAACCCTTATGTTTCTCTAATACCTTTTAAATACCTTTATTAAAGTACTTATGCATTATAGATAACTTACGTTTACTTGTCTCTTTTCCCTACTAGACAGTGAACTCTTTGAAAGCAAGAACTTCTTTTTCATATTTTTTGAAAGCACGTTCTGTAGGTTAGTAGATGATGGCATTGAGAATGTGAATGTGTAGATGGAGAAGCAAAGACTTTTTAAAAATAAATTTATTTATTTCATTTATTCATTTTTGGCTGTGTTGGGTCTTCTCTAGTTGTGGCAAGCGGGGGCTACTCTTCATTGCGGTGCACAGGCTTCTCATTGCGGTGGCTTCTTTTGTTGCGGAGCACGGGCTCTAGGCTCGTGGGCTCAGTACTTGTGGCTTGCAGGCTCTAGACCCGCAGGCTCAGTAGTTGTGGCGCATGGGCTTAGTTGCTTCATGGCATGTGGGATCTCCCTGGACCAGGGTTCAAACCCGTGTCCCTTGCATTGGCGGGCAGATTCTTAACCACTGCACCACCAGGGAAGTTTGAAAAGACATTTTTTTTTAATACATATATTATTTTTATAAATTTATTTGTTTTCATTTTTGGCTGTGTTGGGTCTTCGTTGCTGTGTGTGGGCTTTGTCTAGTTGTGGCGAGCGGGGGCCACTCTTCGTTGTGGTGCGTGGCCTTCTCATTGTCATGGCTTCTCTTGTCACGGAGAGCACGGGCTCTAGACACACGGACTTCAGTAGTTGTGGCACGTGGGCTCAGTAATTGTGGCTCGTAGGCTCTACAGCACAAGCTCAGTAGTTGTGGCGCATGGGCTTAGTTGCTCTGTGGCATGTGGGATCTTCCCGGACCAGGGATCGAACCTGTGTCCCCTGCATTGGCAGGCAGATTCTTAACCACTGTGCCACCGGGGAAGCCCCGAAAAGACATTTTTAAGAAATGGTAACAGTGGTACTGCAGACAAGGAGTGTGTGATTAGCACATAGTCAATGCTCATAAATATTTGATGACTGAGAATGCCAATTTCCCCTTTTTTATTTTGTGGTATAAATAGTCCAATACAAAATTAATTTTTATTGTATAAATATTAGCTACTGGCTTTAAAAAAAACCAACTCATAATTGAAAGACCAGAAAAAATGAATAATTGAAATTGTATTACACTTCTTGACAGAATTAATTAAAACTCTTAATGTGAGGTTTCAGACCTGAAGCTAAGTAATCAAATTTTGCCCCTAACGAGAGTGAAAGAGATGGTTGAATTACATTGTGCGCTTCTCAATATAAGGTTTCTAGGATTCCAAATATATATTGTCTTAGGGCTATTGAACAAATAATGTTTGGCTCTGAAATAATGATCTGAAACATACCAAACCTCAAACATGTAAATTAGTAAATTAGAATAGTTGGGCTGCTGCTATTTTCAAGACGTTCCTAGAATTCTTTTAGCATCTTTAGAACCAGTTTGAGTTGCACAAAAATGTGTGTGTGTATGCATCTCTTTATAGTCATAGGTTAAAAGTATTTTTTATTTCCAACTTACAGAAATAATGTTGGATTTCCAACATCCTAAAAAGAATAGAGAATGGTATAGTAACAGTAGCGTAGTTATTAAGCTGTAAAGTCTGGGTTAGGAATACTGGCTTCCTATCTAACTCTCATTATTTACTAGTTTTATAACCTTAGATCAGCTTCATCTCTCTCTACTTCAGTTCCTCATCTGTAAAATGAGTAATAGAATCTAACAGTAATGAAAGAGTAATCATATTAGATACAAATAGTAGTAGAATGTGTCTCCTAGGGTTGTATTTAGGAGTCTACATGCAAACACTTAGAAGAGTGCCTTCTACATAATAAGTGCTCAAATGTTAGCTCTGTTGTTCATTTTTTTCATTTATTGTTGCTGCTGTTATTGATATGTATACACACACACATACATACATATATAAATGTTTTTTTAAACCATCCAATACCAAACTTTAGGAAATGCTATATTTGTTTTAAGTTTTTGAGAATATGCATGCCGATATGTGCACCACTAACTTGTCCATTTTAACTGCAGTAATCTAATGTATAAATATACTGCTGTTTGTTCACTCATTATTTTGTTGATGGACAGACATATAGTTTTCAAGTTTTTTTGCTGTTGTAATACCTGTCTTCCTTGTACATGACCAAGAATTTCCATGGGCTGTATACCCAAAAGTGTAATTGTGGAATTGTAACATACATGCAACTTCAACTCAAGTGGTTATTTTAGTTTACACTCCCAGTATAGAGTATGAATTCCCCATTTCTCCCCATCTTGGTGTTCTCAGGCTTTTAGCTTTTTGCCAACCTTTGAAACAATATCTCAAGTCTATCATGATTTTTATTTCCCTTATTCCTCATAAGTATGTTTTCATATTTTTATATGTATATAAGTATATTTTCATATTTTTCATATTTTTATTGGCTATTTGGGGTTTCTCTTCTGTGATTTGCCTATTTGTTACTGTTGTCCATTGCTCTGTTAGGTTATTTGCCTTTTGTTGTTATTGTTGTTTTAATTCTTTGTCAGTTGTTTGCATTGCAGGTATCTTATTCTGCTCTGTACCTTGTCTTTTCACTTTGTGTTTTCTTTGCCTTTTGTGTTTTAAGAAATCCTTCCCTGCCTCTCAAAGTCATAAAAATGGTCTGCCATATTTTTTCTAGCGGTTTTAAAATTTTGATGTTTTGATTCATAGCTCTAATCCCTTGAAATTTATTTTTATGTATGTGATGAGTAACATAATTTTATTTTTTCATATGAATAAGCAGTATGCTTTTTGCACCATTTATCAAATAGCCCATCTGAACTGTAATGCAACGGCTATAATATACAAGTTCCATTTTTAGGCTCTCTCTTTTGTGCACTGGTCTGTTTGTATAACCTTGTAACAATTCCACATTTCCTCTACCTTATTCTTCTTCAAAATTATTTTAACCATCTTGGCACTTTTCTATATGAATTTTAGAATAATTCATCCATGAAAAACACTGTTTGGATTTTTATTGAAATTGTTTTAGGTTTTAAATGAATCTGGGAGAATTTGCTATCTTTGTAATACTGAGTTTTAGTATCTTTTAGTTTCTTTCTTTATGTATGTATTCATTCATTTGTTCATAGGCACCGTACAGTTTTTGTTGCAATTGTGAGTGAGGTCTTTTCTGTATTACACTTTTCATTTGGTTATTGCTGGTGTACAAGAATGCCACTGATTTTTGCATATTGACCTTATATTGAGCATCCCTGCTACACTCTTCTATTAGTTCTAACTGCATATTGGTTCTCTTAGATATTCTTTGTAGAAATCCTCTTGTCTGCAAATAAGGACAAATTCGTATCTTGTTTGCTTTCCAATTCTTATGTTTTATTTAAGATTTTTCCATCTATACTCATGAGTGAGATAGATGGTGATCATTTTGCTTTTCTTGCCCTGTCCTTTTCCTTTTTGGTGTCAAGGTTATAATAGCTTCATAAAATGAGGTTTTTTTCTTCTATTCATTGAAACAGTTTTTACAATAAATAGGGTCTGTCTGCTCTTTGAAAGGGCTGGTATATCCTCCCGTAAAAACCCTCTGTCATGGTATCTTTGAAGTAAGGAGAGAGAAGTTTCATCTTTCTGAACTGAAATTCTGCATGCATTAATCAGTAACTCCCCATTCCTCCCTGCCTCTCAGCCTTTGGCAACCATTATTCTACTTTATGTCACTATGAATTTGACTACTCTGGGTACCTCATATAAGTGGAACTCAAATACTAGAATTTTTTTTAAATAAATTTATTTATTTATTTGTTTTTATTTTTGGCTGTATTGGGTCTTCATTGCTATGCGCGGGCTTTCTCTAGTTGTGGTGAGCAGCATCTACTCTTTGTTGAGGTGCACGGGATTCTCATTGTCGTGGCTTCTCTTGTTGTAGAGCACGGGCTCTAGGAGCGTGGGCTTCCGTAGTTGTGGCACATGGAGTCAGTAGTTGTGGCTCGCGCGCTCTAGAGCGCAAGCTCAGTAGTTGTGGCGCACGGGCTTAGTTGCTCCGCGGCATGTGGAATCTTCCTGGGCCAGGGGTTGAACCCGTGTCTTCTGCATTGGCAGGCGGATTCTTAACCACTGCGCCACC